CTTTTACAAACAAAGCTGCAAACCATAGCATGGGGCTCAACTTCAAATTCAACAAAAATTGTGTTTTTTGTTTTTTGTTTTTGTTTTTTTTGAGATAGAGTCTTGCTCTTTCACCCTGGCTGGAGTTGTAGTGATGTGATCACAGCTTACTGTAGCCTTGAAATCCTAGACTCAAGCAATCCTCCTGTCTCGGCCTCCCGAGTAGTTACAACTGTAAGCATGAGCCACCATGCCTGGCTAATTTTTAAAAATTGTTTTGTAGAAACAGGGTATCACTATGTTGCCCAGGCTAGTCTGGAACTCCTGGTCTCCAGCAATCCTCCTGCCTCAGCCTCCCAAAGCATTAGGATTACAAGTGTGAGCCACCTGGCCTCAACAAATAGTTTTCAAACAACTTCTCTGTAACAGACACTGCACACTCTAATGAACAATGTTTGTATACCTCTTTAATGATTTTTTTTCTTAAAATAAATTCACAGGTTGGGATTCCTAGGGCAAAAGGTAAGCACATTGCTAAGGCTCTTGATAAGTATCACTAAACAAAGCTCCAGGAAATTTGTACTAATCTATTCTCTGGATTAACAATTTTTTCTTTTTTAGCCTTTTTTTCTTATTACAAAAATAATTTATGTTTTTAGGAAATAACTGGAAATCAGTTACTGGACATTTAATGATATTAAAGAATTTTTTTTTTAGGTGTGATAATGGTATTGTGGCTACTCTTTGAAAATAGTTCTTATCTTTTACAGACACACACAGTGGATGAGGGAGTATGGTTGAAACAAGACTTGTCCTGAGTTGATATGGAAGCTGGGTGATGGATACATCTGCCTTCATTGTATGATTTTCTCTATCTTAGTAAGAAAACAAAAGCTTGTGTTAAAAATTTTAAACATGATATAAACCTCTAGCTTAGGTGTGAGTCCCCATTCTTTCACCTCCCAGGGTTAACTGCAATGAACGGATAGGTGTATGTGCCCCTGACCTTATCCAAGCAAACACTAACTGTGAATATTGCTAACACACATGCTCTTAAAACAAGGATGAGCTACTACAATGCACACTGTTTCTCCACTAGCTTTTTCACATCACCATATTTCGAGATGATTGGCCATGTCAACACTATCTCAGTCTTTAACAGCTAGCTCCATGGTACTCCCTTATGTCAAAGAATCATAATTTATTCATCTGTTCCTCTAATGGTAGGCAAAATTGGAGTGTCTCCAGTTTGCTGCTATTAAGAACAATAATGCAATGAACATCCTTGTACATAATATTTCTGTGTACCTGTGTGAGCAAATTTTTTTTTTTTTTTTGGAGACAGAGTCTTGCTCTGTCGCCCAGGCTGGAGTGAAGTGGCGTGATCTTGGCTCACTGTAACCTCCACCTCCCAGGTTCAAGCAGTTCTCCTGCCTCAGCCTCCTGAGTAGCTAGGACTACAGGCGCACGCCGCCATGCCCAGCTTTTTTTTTTTTTTTAAATAGAGACGGGGTTTCACCATGTAGCCCAAGCTGGTTTCAAACTCCTGAACTCAGACAATCCACCCCCCTTGGCCTCCCAAAGTGCTGGGATTACAGGCATGAGCCACTATGCCTGGCCTGTGTGAGCAATTTTACAACCTATCTTTCTAGAAGTGGAGTCACTATGTCAAAGGGGTCACAGACTTAAAATGTAAATAAAATGTCCAACTTACCGTTTTGGTAGACTTTCTGTGTACCAATATACCAATGTAGTACACTACTCTCCTAGTGAACATCTGGAGATTATTTTCATTTGGTGCCTGCTGTAGAAAAGCCTCATGGAGGCCGGGCGCGGTGGCTCACACCTGTAATCCCAGCACTTTAGGAAGCCGAGGCGGGTGGATCATGAGGTAAGGAGTTCAAGACCATCCTGGCCAACATGGTGAAACCCCATCTCTACTAAAAACACAAAAAATTAGCTGGGCGTGGTGGCAGGCACCTGTAATCCCAGCTACTCAGGAGGCTGAGACAAGGAGAATCTCTTGATCCTGGGAAGCGGAGTTGCAGTGAGCAGAGACTATGCCACTGCACTCCAGCCTAGGCAACAGAGTGAGACTCTGTCTCAAAAACAAAAACAAAAACAAAACAAAATAAAAAGCCTCATGGAGTCGCAGCTGGAAAGGGCCTCAGAGATTTTGTGGTCTTGCGTCCAGGGAAAGCTGGGGCCCAGCCCCCAACGCTGTCAGGGCCGCGTGCAGCTCCCTGGGCTGGAGGTTGTGCAGAGCAGTGCTCCCAAAGATGCTGCCCATGTCTGAATCCCAGCCTTACCATTTACTGCTGTATGACCTTGAATACTTGCCCGGTCCATGCCTCAGTTTCCTCATCTGCAAGCTGGGGGTAATACTAATACTGGGGTGGCAACTGGAAAGGGGCTAGGAGATTTTTCTCGAAGCTACATTTACAAAGTATATATTTATTTGGGGTAGCTTTCAGGGGATTGATGGAGGATGGGGGGTGGGCACTGAGGACTCCCATCAGGCACCACCAGCGCTGCCAGAGCTAATTTCAAATGAGGACAGCTGGACTTAGTGAGATGTGATGAATGCCCAGCACATGGCACACAGCCTGGCACACTGTCAGTGCTCGATGGTCATGAATTCTTTAGTGCTGACAGGTGCTGGTTGGGACAGAGAGACCAACATTTCAGTCCAGGAGAGGGAGGCCCAAGCAACAAGGAAAGAGGGGACCCAAGAGATGACCTAGTCCAGCCCACCACTTATTATTGTAAATAAAGTTTGATTGGAACACAGCTGAGCCTCTTCATTATGTATTGTTTATGGATCCTTGAGCAGAAGGGGAGGCCACAGGGAAAGGGGAGGCTCTGAGGCTGCAAGGAGAGGACGAGAGGGCCCAGCCAGCCCTGTCTCAATCCAGCCTCTGATGACCCCACCCAGCTATCAGCTACCGTGCAGCTACACTTACAGCAAGCAAGACCAGCAGGCTTGCTGGACAGAGCCCAGCTGACTCTCAGAACCAGAGAAACAAGAAAACGGTGCTCGGGCCACTCTGCTCAGTGAGGTGGGGTGGTTTTCTGGAGCAATAGCTGACTGAGACACACCACACCAGAGCCTTCACCTTTCTACCCTCCTTTATCCAGTGGTTCAAACTCCTGTGTGCCTATAAGAATCCCCTGAGGAGCCTTTATCAACACCATATCAGAATATCTGGGAAGGGACCGAAGTAGGAATCTATTTCATTTTATTTTATTTTATAATAATCACTTGGGCCCAGGAGGTCGAAGCTACAGTGAGCTGGGATTACAGCTCATGAGTAGCTGGGATTACAGGCCTGCGCCATGATGCCTGGTTAATTTTTGTATATTTAGTAGAGACGGGTTTTGCCACATTGGCCAAGCTGGTCCCAAACTCCTGGCCTCAAGCGATCCACCTGCCTCAGGCTCCCAAAGTGCTGCAATTAAAGGCCTGTGCCACCGCACACAGCCTCCAGAGTAGCAATTTTTTTAAACCCCCACGATTTGAGAACCACAGCTCCACCCACTGTTTCCAAAACTTGCAGAAATATTTTTAAAAACAGATTCTTGGGCTGGGCACAGTCACTCACACCTGTAATCCCAGCACTTTGGGAGGCTGAGACAGGGTGATTTTTTTTTTTTTTTTGAGACAGTCTCACTCTGTCACCCAGGCTGGAGTGCAGTGGCGCCATCTCAGCTTATTGCAACCTCCGCCTCCCAGGTTCAAGCTATTCTCCTGCCTCAGCCTCCTGAGTAGCTGGGATTACAGGCGCACACCACCACGCCTGGCTGATTTTTGTATTTTTAGTAGAGACGGGGTTTCACCATGTTGGTCAGGCTGGTCTCAAACTCCTGACCTCGTGATAAGGCAGGGGAATATCTTAAGCACAAGAGTTTGAGATCAGCCTGGGCATTTTAGTGAGACCCAGCTCTGCAGAAAAACTGCAGGTGAAGTGGCATGCTTCTGCAGTCCCAGCTACTTGGGAGGCTGAAGTGGTAGGATCACTTGGGCCCAGGAGGTTGAAGCTACAGTAAGCTGAGATTGCACCACTACACTCCTGGGCAACAGAGCAAGACTCTGTCTCATAGATTCGTATACTCCAACAGCCAATTCCATGGGAAGACCTGGAAACCTGTAGCATTCACCCATTCCCCCAGATGAATCTTACTATCAATGGATTTGACAGCCTTTTCTAGGTTGTCTTTTGGCCAGGAGGCTGGACAATAGAGGACGGGAGTGGCAGCTCGGCTCCCTCCTAGCAGAGTGATCCTACACAAATTATTCCAGATGTCTGATCCTTCATTTCCTCAAGCACATCATGGGGGAAAGAATGCCTAGCTCAGTACCTGGCAGAGAGTCAGCCTTCGCTCATCTCTCCTAATGGAGCTGACAGCTCTTCAAGTCCGCTGACATCTTCTCTTAGTCATCCCTTGAAACAGTACCTCCTAGTCTCTGCTCCTCGGTCTCCTCCTGTGTAAATGGAGATGAGAAGAGGTTGTGAAACTTTAATGAGCGAGCACTTGGAGCAGTATCCAGCCTTTCCTGACACTATGACTCCTACGAGAGGGCCTGGTACACAGTAGGTGCTAAACTAATCCTCCCGGAGCTTGGCTTGGTAAAGATGCCTCCGTCGGTGTGCAGCGTGGGTGCAGGAAGGCGAGCCTGGGAGCCAGGGGCATGCCAAGAGCCAGCCTGAGGTCGTCTCTGGTTTCCCCCGCGGCCCCCGCCAGGGCTCTGCAGTCATCAGCCCGGCCCGCCTCCGCGCCAGTACACGAAACCCGAATGCCCCATGCCGGCGCCCCCACCTTCCAGGACCTTACAACCTACTTTGCGCCCGAAGGCCCTCGGTCCCGCCCCTGGCTACCATTGGCCCAGGTGTTATTTTGTTAGCAGTAGTGCGTCGCCGCCGTTGGCCGACGGGGCTGCAGATCGCGTCGGGGGCGTGGCCCCGTCCCTAGTGCCCCGGCACCTCCCAGAGCTCGGCGGGAATGCCTGAGGCGCACCGTTCTCATTTGCGGGGCCACTGGGCACCAAGGGGCTTGGGCGGCTGCGCGGACGAAGCGGGCCGCAGCGGGAGGCGGCGGCCTGAGGCCGCGTCCATCCACCCGCGGCAGTCGGGCGCGGCGGTGCGGGCGGGCGCTGGGCGTCGCGCTTGCTGTGAGATCCTGGCGACGCAGGATCCTCGGCGCGACACGCGCCGGCCGGGAAGGAGGCCAGGCCGGGCCTGCGGCTGCCGCGTTGAGTCCTGAGCTCACCAGGAGAGCCCCGCCGGCCCTCCTGCGTCACTGCAGCAGCCGGGCGGTCCATGTCAGCGGCCAAGGAGAACCCGTGCAGGAAATTCCAGACCAACATCTTCAATAGGAGCGAGTATCAGAACTGCTTCAAGCCCCACGAGTCACATCTGCTCAACGACGAGGACCTGAGGCAGGTGAGCGCCGGGGTTGGCCCAGACACCTCTGTCCGGGAGCCGCGGGGCCGGGGCCACCGCCAAGGGCTGCAGGGAAAATAAAAATGGAGCAGGGAATTGCGCGAGTCCCGGGGCATGGGGACAGGGACGGGGACGGGAAGTGCATTGACAGAGCCCGAACAAAGGGAGAATCCTCAAGTATGCCTAAAAATAACATCCTTTCCTGTTCCTATTGCTCGGTTGTGTGATCACGCTTTTGGGGGGACTCAGAAGTGCCTGGTTTCGCTTGGTAGGAACAAAGCGCTTAGTGATTGCATGCCGCTTGACGGGACCCCCTTCAGAGTCCGGCTTGGGACTGGTCTTGGACTTGTCCAGCCAGAGTGGCCCAGGGGTCGGATTGTTGGGAAGGACTGTGGGCTTCCGTCTAGTGGGACGCAGCCTGCCCGGATTCTGAATCAAAGTCACTGTCAAGGACTGGAGAGAGGTGAAGGGTGTCCAAGTCTGGCGAGGAGGGTCTTGTTCTTGAACTTAGGCTGGCAGGCCGTAGTTGAGTGGGGAGCTGGGACCAGTTCCCTGGTCACTGGCCGAGGGGTGAGGAGACTTGTGGGTCCTCGGGAAAGTTGGTTTCTGTCTCCCAGCCTTATCTGTCAAACAGGGCTTTGAACTACTTGCGGCTCCCAAACGTGCATTAGAGTCATAGCCATTAAACACAGAGTTCTGGGGGCCCTGCCCTGGAGTGATTTGGGAGATGGGGAATTCGTATTGATGAAAGGCTCCAAGAGGCTTGGCTGCGGTCACCGTGGCCCTTGGGGACCCCTGCAGTGATTGCTCTTTGAACTTCTAGTGTTCCAGGATTCCGAGCCTTGTGTACACCTCCTTTGGATGTGCCTGGGTACCCTCCCCACAGCCATCATCTCTGTCCTCTTCAGAGCTTTCTCTCAGCCTCCTGAATGAAGCCAGGGGAAGTCCCTTCACATTCCAGTCCAGTGTGACCTAGTTGTAGCCACTGCTGTGGCAGAGGAACCCCTTAGACTGAAAACGAGTGAACGGGCCTGGTTGTTTTTAATGCCACTTCAGTGCCCCCAGGGTTTGACTAGTTTACATGACCGACTGGAGTAGGGTGGTGGGGCAGGGATTATGGCCTGGGGCATGGGGCCTTTCTCTGAGGTCAGGTTTCCAACTGCCAGGAAAAGATTATTTTCATCTAAACCTCAAAAGCTTAACCAAACACTCAAGGCTGCAAAGTCATGGATGGTTAAGATACCAAGGGCTTTAAGGACGGGCAGCCTGGGATGAGTAGAACTCAGTTACCTCGAAAGGTGTTCTGGAGTGTAAAGGAAAACTTGATTCCCTCTTCTCATCTGGATGCTTTTTTCCGCGAAACAGTTTATGTGATGAGGAGGAGTTGGGAGACTTTGCTTCAAGTCTTGGGCTGTCACTTTCACCTGTGTGACCTTAAACAAATCCCTTTATCTCTATATTTTAATTTCCTTGTCTGTAAATTGGGAATCCCGGTCCCTGGCTTACATCCTTCACTGAGCATTTCTGAAAAGCAAGAATGATATTTTATTAAACTGTTTTCTCTTACAATGTAACAAACCAAAAACCCTGCCCACTTTGTTTTACTAAGTTGGCAAGAGTTCTGACAGACGTTTGTAAGTTTCCTGGTTATTCGAAGCAACTGCCAAAATTGGTAACTTTACACCTCATAGGGACTGTTTGCGGATTCTTAAGCTTAGATAAACTAGAATGGAATCTGCATGTTTGAGTCCAATCTTTAAGATTTTTTTTAATCTGTTGATTATTAATTGGATTCACGGAGGGAGGCAAATTTAAAATACTGTACTCTCACTGTATTCAAAGTTGAATTGTGGGTTTTGAAACAGGCCTGAGACCCTCAGGGCACAACTGGAATGGTAGTTTCTGAAATGATGAAACTACCATAACTATGGGTTATTTGTGCTGGGAGAGATTAGCCCAGTCTTCTGCCTCCTGGGGTCTTTCAGGAAGAAACTGCACTTGAAAAGAAAGGAGACAGGGCTGTTGCCAACAGCTATCTCTGTTGCTCTCTGCATCCCGCTCTCCCCCAGCCTCTCACTCTCATCCTTATGGCTCCATTAGAAAACCTCAAGCAATCTGTTCCCATCAGTCTCCACCAAGACCTGCTTCCTGCTGCCCCTCTCAGCTTTGAGCTTATTTTAGACCGTCAAAGCTGGAAGATACATCAGCCCCTATTGAGGCCACCCCCTCTTTAAGAGGCGAGGATACTGGGTCCAGGGAGGTGGTGAGCGACCTTGGCCGGCTTTTGCTCTTGAGATGTCATCTTCCCGGGAGTAGACATTTCTCTGAGCCTTCTGGTTTGAGCTTTATTTTCTCCGCTGTGGGTTTTGTTTGTTTGTTTATTCCCTAAAGAGGCACAGAAACCTCTTGCAGGGACAGTATTATGGCGTGGAAGCGCCGTAGCTCTTGTGTGTGGCCGTGTGCTCCTGTCTGAGTGCCAGCTTTGTCCATGCCTCTTGTCCTTGGTGGCATAGTACACACAGTGGCACAACTGGAGACTTGGACTCAAGAGAAAGGAGAAGTACAAGTTGGATTCAGCCGTGCGGGGGGTGGGGGAGGCCCTGGCTTGTGTCTACTTGCTCCTCAGAGTGCTGATCGTCCCTCACTGCTGGGTGCTGACCAGCGTCGCCCTGGTGACCTGGGAGCTCCAGGTGTGGGACGCAGAGAGGGGCATCCTGGCTCACCCAGGTGTTGGCTGGGAGGGCCTTCCTGCAGCACTCAGAGCTGTTAGGGAGAAGTTACCTTTTCAGCTGGTTGGAGGTGACTAATAAGTATACCCGTAGACTTATTCAAGTGTTTATTTATTTAGTCATTGGAGCCCAACTTTGTACTGGGTGTTTCACTGGATGAGGCAGGATTCTTGTCCCCAGCGAGGAGATGTGGTGGTGTGAGAGAGAAGGAATACATGTGGCCTTGGGGCCGGTTAGTGTTCTTGAAGGAGGTGTGGGATTTTGAGGGGTCTGGGTATGGGACAATGTATCCTTATTCCATGGAGTAGAAGATGTTTGTGTATGGGAGGTGAGAGGTGGCAGGACGTGATGGGGTGAGAAGGGTGAGACCCACCTGTCTGCATCGACTGAGGCCTGCCCTCTTCAGTGCCGAATTGCACAACGTGTCTGACTACCTTTCTCCCCACCCACTGCGGTCTAAGGGCAGGTGAGTCCAAGGGGACAGGAAACCTGGGTTAACCACCTGTTAGAGATCTTGTCACCAACTGTTCCCTCCTTCTCTTGGAGCCACAGACAGGCCACATGGCGTGAGAGCCAAGCATGTTGTGTGGGCTGGTTGTGATGGGGTGGCTGTGTCCAGAGACCTGTGCATGTCTGGGAAGCGTCAGTGTTGGCAGCTTGACAACACCGGGTATAGCAGGCTGAGATGTTTCTCTCTCCCTTGTCCCTGGCCGCCCTGTTGGCCAGAGTTGAGACAGTTGGGTTTTTCCTGACGTGCATCCCAGATCTTTCCAGGGAGCGTTGTGAGGGGAGAGGGCAGAAGAACCCCTGAGAGAGGGGATGTGCGTGGCCTCCAGGGAAGCAGCTGGAGAGGCCAGCAGAGCATACACGGTGCAGCTCTGGGTCATGGCAGGCAGGCGTCACTGGAGGAGGCCTGTGTCCATCCACCATAGACCCCTGAGGACTGACTGCAGAGGCCATGGTGGCTGAGTTTTGTTTTTCCTTTTTCATTAAACTTTTTATGTTAAGATAATTGTGTTTCCTCTGTAGTTGTAAGAAATAACAGAGATCCCATGTACTCCTTTGCCCAGGTCCTTTGATGGTGAAATCCTGCAACATTGTGGTACGGCACCACATCTGGGATAGGATACTGGCTACAATGCAGAAAGTACCCAGTGTCTCCATCACCTCCTCCCTGTCCCCAGCCACCCAGGAATCCTTCTCCATTTCCATAAATCTGACATTTGAAGAATGTTATGTGAAGAGAATCATACAACCCTAACCCTAACCTTTGAGATTGGCTTTTTTCACTCAGAATTCTCTGGTGATTCATCCAGGTTGTTGCTTGGATCAGTAGTTTGCTCCTTTTTATTGCTGACTCGTATTCCATGACAAGAGGGGACACCTAGGTTATTTCCAGTTTTGGGCTGTTATGAACAAAGCTGCTATAACCATTCACATGTAGTTTGTGTGTGAGTGTATGTTTTCATTCTCTGGAATAAATATCCAGAAGTGCAGTTCCTAGGTTGTATGGTAGTTGCATGTTTAGTTTTTTAAAAACTGCCAAACTGATGCACACCAGCAGTGTATGAGTGATAGATATACTTACTTTGTGACCTTGCCAGCATTTAGTGTTGTCACCATTTGTTTTTTTAACCATTCCGATAGGAGTATAGTAACATCTTGTGTGGTTTTAATTTGCATTTCCACTATAGCTCATGGTGTTGAACACCTTTTCATACTATTTATCTGCTGTGGAAAGTCTTCTCATGTCTTTTGCTCATATTCTAATTAGACTGTTTAGTGTTTTTCCTATTGAGTTTTAAGGGTCTTTATATAGTGTAGATACTAATATATAGTCTAGATACTAGTCCTTTGTCAGATACGTCATTTGCAAAATACATTATCCTTCTTTGTGGCTTATCTTTTCATCTTCCTTAGCAGGACTTCGTGCAGAGCAAAAGTTTTTAATTTTAATGAAGTCCAATTTATCAATTTAAGTTTGTTCCATTTTCTGTTACTTTTTGTCTAACATTACTTTTTGTATCAGCTTGAGGCAATTGCCTATGGACGAGGGTCACTCTAGCACCATTTGTTGAAAGGCCGTCTTTCCTATATTGAATTCCTTGTGCACCGTTGTCAAAATTGGGCATATTTGTGTTGGTTTATTGCTAGCTTCTGTTCCATTGATCCATGTGTCTGACTCTCCACTAATACCACGCAGTCTTCATTACTGTGGATGTGTAATATGTCTTGTAATTGGGTAAATGGATTATACCTTCTTTTTTTTTT